TAACAAATTGAAAGCAGAGAGGGCATACGCACCAACAGACATACGTACATATGTATGTATCGAAATACATGTGTATGTTTATACGAGTATGTACCTCAACCATCAATTGGCAAGCAATGTTGGAATGAATTTACGAATTTCAAAAATTTAAAAAGTTTAAAAGTTTTTGCTGCAAATCTTCATCGCTCGATTGATAACAATCAAATGGAGCAGCTTAAATCCAAGGGCTATTTTCATATCTTGATTTTATCTGTGGATAATTGTGTTTTGGCTTAGGCCACTGAACTGGAACAAACAAAGGAAGGAAGCAGAGAGACGAATCCTGTTGTGAAAATGTGAAAAAGCTGTTGCCGAGAATTTAATTTTGCAGCGGAATTTAATTGATTTTGCGTGGGTTTTTTTCTTCAGTGGGATGAAAACGGTTTTATTCTGTGTATGCTTATGGCGTAGAGGGGAAAAAATATGTTTTTAGATCGATTAAAGTAACGTAATTGGCAAAAAAAAAATTTTTTGTTTTTTTTTTGTCCATAATTCCTCCCTAGCTGAGGGAACTACATGCAATAACACTGTAAAAAATCGTTTATTTTAGGTCTCACTAAAGTAAGCAACCTCAAGCGACAGTGTTGGACAGCTGTTACTTTAATAGTTTATATGGTGGGTTAAAGTATCGACTTTATGGGTAACTCCTCAGAATTTAACCCCAAATATGGAAAAATAAAATTAAATGTGAAGCGCCAAATAAAGTGGAGCTTGGCCCAGCTTCTCTTCCAGTCTGCGGTGCGCCTTCATGAAATCACACAAAAAAAGGGATATACTGCTTAACGCGCCCTAAGAACGAAAAATATATTTAGAAGAAGCTTTTTCAAGTCATAAAGAAACTCTGAGGGTTTTTTATTCGCTGTCGCGTACCGAGCACTGTTAAAAAACTTCTTTTTGGATGTTGGTCGGAACAAGATTCGAACTTTTGTCCTTGCGCTCCTTTAACCACTTAGCTAAAGCAACTGCCAGTAGAAACACTCACTGCTAAAAAAAACTTACATTAAAAATCAGATGTAGGCAAAAAAAAGGTAAAAAATAATAATAATACTGAGATTTCTATAAAAATTAGATGTAGGCAAAAAGCTAAAAAAAAACAAACTCAATACAAAAATTAAAAATTAAAAAAAAATAATAATTGGCCTCACTAACTGAACAAACTGCCAGTTCATTCTCTCATTTCAAGAAAAAAAAACTTTGATTTTAAACCGATTTTTTTTTTAATTTTCGGTATTTTTATTTAAAGTACTGAAATGTTTCTTTCCAAATAATGAAAGAAATTGATAGTCAAAAGAAAAGGTTTTGAGGTGGGACAAGTGGTTTTCGTTATATTGATCGGTGATCATACATATGTATATCTATATATTTTGAAATTTGTATTATTATTTTTATTGATAACTTTTTAATAATAGGGTTCTCAATACATATTTGCATCATCAGTTGAGTTGTTTCTTTATAAATATTATTTTTACCGACATTTTTATAGATTGCCATTGATACATTACACTATGAATATTACCAAAACAACTAAGGCTCAGAATTCTACACAAAGAATATTTTGGAAACAAATTAAAAAAAATTTATATTGAGTTAAAAATTAGGTGGCAACCCTATAAAGAACATGTTTTGAGTGTATATGTACTCTGCATACATATGTATGTATAAAGCTACATAAAATATGCTCGGCAAAATTAGTAAGACACAAATTGGAATTAAAAAAAAACGTGGCAACACTAAACAATAATATTTCTGGATGAAAGCACTTAAACTTACCTTTCATTGGATATCCATATTAAGTTGTGATAGGAAAATTTAGTGGAATTGAAAATAGGTGGCAACCTTACACTAATATCCTAAGGGATGACATTTATATAGGCAAAGCATTGTTCAAGAGCTTTCTTTTCTAACACATAAGGAGTATTTTAGTTTCCTAATCAAAAAATTAAAGAAAAATGTACAACGGAAAATAGGTGGCATCTCTATTAAAAAATATTCCTGAATTGGGGATTTTTCCATTGGGTACCTTTATTAATATATTTATTGAGCTTGTAATTAATGTCGAATAGGTGGCAAGCTTATATTAACTCAAATTTCTAAACAACACCACTCTGTGACTGCTAAAATGTACAAATCTGTACGAATGCACTAGTCGTGTGATCCCTGCTTTAGTTTCATGCAGAGTGCAAGAGCGCCCTATCTCAGCTGATGATTCAAAAACGCTCTATCCCACATATTTTCAGATGAGATAGGGCGTTTTTCAATCAAATTCTGATGTAGGGCGTTATAAAGCTATTTTCTGAGATAGGAGGCTACAGAAGGTCAATAATTTTGATGGAAAGCTGGGGTCAATCGGTTGAATTAAGGGTGATCGACTGTTTAAGAACCCCTATTCCGTTTATGGTTGGTCAAAGTATTGACGGTAATTAATCAAGCGATCGAAGAATTTTTGTTGGAATGCCTAGGCCGATTTTGATTAAGTAATGTTTTAGTCAACCACAAGAAAAGTCTAACCTGTGTTCTACATAATTTAAAACACAAGAGACATTTCACGGCCGACTATCCTAGTCGAAAACTCAACTGAGAATGTTTCTTCACTAAAAGATTCCTGGGTTAATTAAGGCGATCGGCAGTCTATTGACTGAAGCCTTTGATCGAGCTCCTGGCTCCTCTAGACGAGGCCTTGTACATCCCTTCAAACAGCAACTGGTTCAAGATTTTATCTTTGCATAGGGTAAATATTTAGTTCGAGTGAAATTCAAACGTACCAGTGCCTTCGGACCACAGTATTATAAAAATTTTAAATTACAACTTCCTTGAAATTGATGGTTGTAGGAGATTTCCCTTTCACTGCCAAAATTATGAACCACTTTTCCAATTTTTTTTTTCTATCACCTTTCGAAAGGTATATGCATATTCACATATATACACATATCATACATATTGTTTATAGGTACTAAGTTAGTAGACAAAATAACCCACACTAAAACACCAAACTGGATTCCATAGCGTTTTCGATTGGTGACATCTGCCACACAGACATCACTTTCTCTTGCAGCAACTTAAAGCAGAGTGTGTGCAAATATTTGCTTTCATATTCATTTTAAATAGGAAAAAAGCAAAAAAAGGTGGTAGTTGCCTATGCTATCGTTTAGAAATCAACACGCGGCATAAACAGCATCCTTTATGCGTAAAATTTCATTTTTAGTATTTTGGCAACACATTTTGGCCTTCGATTTCCCATTTTCAGCTATTAGCACAGCCGCTGATTCGCCTGCTACAAACAATTTTTGATGGCAATGTATTCAATATGTTGTTAGACAAAAAAAAAATATCCCAATAAACATTGGGCTTGGTTAACAATTCGAAAATGTTTGGAAAACTAATCTGTTTTTCAAGTCTCAACTTCGATAATGAATCTGGAAATAGGTTACTATTCGATTCGAGAACTATGCCATTCTCCAGCAAAACGGAACCTTCGTTATCCAATGTATTTTACCTTCATTATGAATTCGAAATCCAGCCCATTATCGAAGGGAAATTTTAATGAGAGAGAGTGATTGTCTTATATTTCCCTTTGAGAATGAGCTGGATTTCGAATTCATAACGAAGGTAAAATACGTTAGATAACGAAGGTTCCATTTTATTAGTTTCCCGAATACAAACGCGCGACCCGCTTTAGTTGAAAAAATGAAACTTTATAATAAACATAAAATTCCCAAAAGCATTAAAATACGCAACTTTCTCTCTTGTTACTATGGTTCTCATTTTATTTTCGAACCAATTTCGAGTGTATTTCGAAAGTTTTTCGTTGGAAAACTAAGGTTGGTTATGAGTTCGTTCACAGTTCGATATTCATTATTGGATATTGAAGGTCTTTTTCGAACGTTCGCCACAATGTTTATTGGGATCTGTAAAAAAACATGTCTCCCACCTACCACCATATAGACACTAGCTAGCAACGTTCGTGGGCTAACAGCCTAAAAGGCTGCTACATTTCATTTTATAGTCAACATTTGTACCCATTGCGTCCGTGTTTCTTGCTTCCAAACGACAATTGGCAACAAACCTACGCCAGGCATGTAGTCTACGCCTCCGCAGTGATGAAATTTACTTCTCTACTTTTTCCACAACCATACCATCTTGCAGCGTAAACACTACCGCTTGCCGTCCTCACACACAACCTCAAGTGCTGCCTCACCCATTTCTGATAAAACTTTTGTGCTGCTTGCGCGTCATTTTGTCGTTAGCTGAGTACGTTTTTGTAGGGGTTGACTTTTTATGTATCTTTTCATATACATATGTTGTTATTGAGTGACTACTTAAGCACAATTTTTGCCAATTTTTAGCAATTTTTTTGTCATTTCGCCTGCTTGCCAAATTTTGCATAGGCAATTTCACGCATTTGCGCTAATTTGTTTATAACAGCGCGGATGCGTTCTCGCTGCCAGTAGCCGTAGTGGTTGAAATAAACTGTTATTTTGCTTGCCTAAAGCACATGAGCGGGGTTGCATTAAATGTGACACTCAAGCGTGGAAAATTTGTTAAAAGCCATATTTTACTTAAAATGAATATTTGAAAACCATTTTGGCGTAGTAAAAATCGAATATTCATATTCCTCACAAGCAGTCATATCTACACATATGTTTGTATTAGTATGCTTTCATACACACACACACACGCATGGACATTTGATTATAAGAAAGTATAGTACAAATACATTTATGCTCCTTCCTTTATGCTTTCTCAAGCAGCCCCATGAATATTTATATGATTTCTTTTTTTTCTTTGCCTTTCCACATGTGCACAAATATTTACTTTTCTACCCTTATTTCCATATTCTCTCCAATGTCGTTCATTTTTTCGGTTATGCAAACATGTTTACATATAATTTGCCCCTTCGCATATTAATTTGTGTGTGTTTTTTTATTCTTTGCAACTTAAAATTCTATTTTTGGTTTACTTACATCTCACACTCAAATAGTAGCCAATCGATGAGTATTGAAAGTTCAAATGTCGTGACGTGCATTTATACCAGCCGGAATGTTCGTGTCGTATCGATGTAAAGTTTAGGAAACCATCGCCAGTTTGGGGGACCTTGGGGGAAAGAAAAATAGAAGAAAAAAAAAGAATTAAATTTGTTTGTTATTCAACTTGAATATAGAAATAGAGAGGACAAAAATAAATAGTAGAAACCAAATCGAGGCATATGAATTGCAAATTCTATGGAAATTTTTAGCTTAATGCTGTAGGTAAACGTGAAAAAAGATCTCTTATTTATTAATATTTTTGGATGACTAGATATTTGTTTTATGTATGTTTTTACGTTAGGGTGGTCCTTAAAAATATCCCAATTTCGCATAAAAAGCGATAACAAATAAATAAATTTACAAAGCTGTATACAGAAGAGTTTCTTTCTTGCAAAGAGGTTTAACAGCACTTTACACACATAAATTAGGGTGGTCCTTAAAAATATTAGTATATATATTTTATAAGGGGCACCCTCTTATTTTGTTCTACGTATGTGCAATATAAATAATACATCCAGGAAAATTAAAAAAAATTTTAGGCATCATTACCAGGGTTTGAAAAAATTTTACCAGCTATAACTCAAAGAATATATGAATTTATGTTAAGTAATAAGTTTCAATGAGGTGTTAAATTTGGCAGGTATCAGTTCAAAATTTTGTCGAATTTTTGCGATTTTTTTTTTTTAATTTTAATTTTATTATTATTTTTTTTTAAACCCTGGTAGCGGTCTCTAAACTTTTTGTTTAAGGTTTGAAATTTTCGTCGATGCTTTTATTTTTTATGTAGAACAAAATAAGGAAGTGCCCGATAAAAAAATTCTGATGTTGATAATTTAAGAACAACCCTGAGAGTTTTTCAAGTTTGTTTCTCTTTGTTTTATTTTAAATAAAACTGTATTAAAATACGTTATGTTGTTCTATTCTAAAAACGAAGTTGAATTTTCGGATTCGATGCTTTAGAAATGTCCGCTTTTTGTCAACAGAAATCTGGTCACCGTAGCTATACCATAAAATAGTGCGCACGGCCGTCCGATTGTCGCTTATGCCGCACTTGATCGACTGGTTAAGCTTTGGGCATATTAGAGATGACTCAGTTAATTTCATCCGAGAGGATCTTGGGCTCCCAGGAGCAAAGACTTATTATAGCAAGGCAACATAATTTCAAGAATTGACTAATTTCTACTGCTATTTTTGTTTAACGCAAATACGGCTTACGACTAAAGTTCTCAAAGATTTTCATTATTTTAAGCATTTAGTAAATTTTTAAATTATTTTAAATCCTTTTTACCCTGAATATTTTCAAGTAAACGCTTGCAAAAAGGTTTTTATAGCGTTTGCAAGTAATTAAATAAGCTTACAATTTTTGAAAAAAAAGAGTATACTACTATTTTTTAGAATAATAAAAAGTGTTCATATTTTAAGCAATTTTTTTGCATTTAAGACGTTCCTCCTCTTTTTACTTTTCTATAAAAAAAAACTTACTACTTTTATACTACTGAAATTAATTTATTTTTTTTATTCTGGCAACAATATTTTAATAAGTTTACTAAGAAAACTAAAAAAAATCTACTACTTTTTTAGTACTAAATTTTATTTTTATTACGAAAAATAACGCATTTTCGATCATTTACAACTAAACACACCTACCACTTTTTACACAAGTTTTTCGTTTTTCTATTGCGATTGTTTATTCCTGCTTGTTTAACTTTTTAATACCCCTCAACCAGCCACTTGCATTTAATTCGATAACCGCATTGTTATTTAAAAAGCTTCTGAAACTCTCAAAACTCCTACATAAATACACTTTACAACTAAAATAGTAACTTTAAGCAAGAAGAAGCTTAAACACACAGACGGAAAGATAACAAAAACCCCACAAACGAATAAAACAACTATGAAACCATTGAGGACAACTACGAGTATAACGACAAGTGGCAAAACAAAATTTGTCGCGCAAATCTGTTACTGTTGATTTTCGGTTGTCGGCTGGATTTTTGCCTATACCTTTTTACACTTTTTTGGTACCAAAAATTTTCATGTTATTTAACTTTGCCACAAAGTAACTACATACTTAAATACATATAAAACTAACAAAAAGGGTATGGGTAAGTGAGGAATACACATAAACATATGAATCTGCTTATGTCCTCAGTAAGCAGATGCAGACATTGTGAATTCCTTTTCACCATAATATGCGTACACATACGTATGCATATGTACTTATCCATACATACATATGTGTATATGCTTCAGCTCGTCTAAGTACATATGTATGTGCATTTGTAGCAGAGTACGCCCCAAAAGTTGAAGGCATAAATTGAGTACGTAATGGATAAAAAGATTACAAATAAGTAGAAGGAGCTAGATTTTTTTCCCAAAAAACTGCGAACTCTCAAAAAAACTGTAACCTTCAAAATCGAAAGGATTTTTGCTGCGGCTGCTGGAATGAAAAGAGCAGCTAAAACTATTTTTTATAAAAGAAAAAACGAAGCAAGTCCATTGCCCCTTTTTAAAAAATTACTTCCAAAAAAACGAAAGAGACGTTTTAATTTACTCTATTATTTATTTATTTTATTTGAAAAAAACCGTAGTTTCTACTAGGAGATATTTTAAAAACTGGAAGCTTTTCTAAAAACTTTGATTTACAGTTGCTACAGTGAAAATCGTAACACTGCTCACTGCGAGGATAGGCTTCTATCTACTTCTTGTATATTTTCTATGAATAAGTATATAAAAGACGATCAAAAATTTTAGTCACTGTGAATAAAGCTGCTTAAAAAATGTAGCAAATATTCTACCCACAAAACAAACGTAATGAAACTTGCAGCGTAATGCTAAAAATAAAGTCAGCCATTGTGGTAAATAAGAGTGCTTTTTAATTTTTTGGCTTGATAGAAGTGATAAAAAAGCATTAAAAATTAAATTTTCATAAAATTGTTTTAGTACTTTTCTACTACTATTTTAAATACTACATTTTCAATTCATTTATCATATCTTTTAAATTTAAGTAATAATAATTTTTGGGTTGAGTGAAAAAACTATGTAATTTTATTACATTTTCATACTACTTTTTTAGTATATAAATTTTTTTAAGTTTAAATAATCACTTTCACTATAAATTTCACTACTACACTAAAGCAAAAGTTTAGATTTCTACAAAAGCATTGAAAAAAAAATATTTTCTCATATTTCACATAAAGCTATGAAATGAACTTTACAAAATTTCATTACTAAAATTTATATCCCTGCTTCCTGCTTTATTTCACTAAATAAATAAAAAATTAAACAAATGTTTAAAACTGGTTTTAAAAATTTTTTCTACTACCTTTTCGGCGACTGTTTTTCTCCAGCAAAAGAGTCTCACTCTTAGGCTCCGAGAACGGCAAAAAATGGTTTCCTCGAAGCCTAATTTGACAAGGGATGGTGGAGATTCGTTGCAAAAAACCACTTATACTGCTCTTTCACCACTAATTGTTTGACTCTCTTGCGACTATTTTTAACATTTCAAGTTTAAATTTTTTGAATAACTTTTCTAAGCTCTCTTCTTCTCTGCTACTTTCTGTTAATAGTACTGATCATATATGTTTGGCTATTTTAACAATTCTATAACCTATTTCCTTAGCTTGTTACTTGGTTGGCATTCAGTAAGTTCAAAATAGGTTTGGGGTGGTTTCACCAAAGTAATTTAATGCGTACAATTTTCCTACATCAATAAGAATTTTTTATTTTTTTATTTTACTTATACTGTGCATTACTCATTAATTAAATAAATTTTAGTTGGTTTAAAAAGGCAAATTTGTCTACTACATTTTTAACTACCTTTCCTACTACTATTAAAAAAAAATGTTTTTAAAAATTTTCTTCTAAAATTTGTTTTTTTTATAACTTGAATTCTCATTTCATACAACTTTAATTTAAAGGATCCAAATATTTGTACTGCTTCTTTTACTACGTTTTCTTAAACTATTTTAGCAAAAACCCTTTTAATTTTTTTGATATTTATGCAGCATATTTACTGCTCCTTCCATTAGGTTAAATTTACTGCTGCATTTAATTTAATAATTTCTAATATATGTTTACTACCTTTCTACTACTATTTATCCAGAAACATTTATTAACACTTTATTTAATATGTTCTTAATTCCATAGACCAAAAAAAAAATAGTCCTGTTAGTATTTAATACTCCACACACTTATATTTTAAAAACTCCCAAAAATCTCAAACTCGCTTGAGTCAACCTCACACTTAACCAGAAATCTAGTGCTATTTACCTACCCCATGCCTTTACAAAAATTACATACTTTACGCGTCTGCACGCAAACAGCATAGTCTACTTACCGGCGTATCACCATCGTCCTTCTGCCAGCGCGGCGTACTTGGCGGATTCGAGTCAACATCGCATTTAAGCGAAACTTCAATGCCTTCGCGCAGCGGATAACCGAAACCAGGTGTGCGTGAAATAGCAAATGAGGGCGTATCTGTAAGAAGCAAAATGAAGTAGTAAATATCAAACGAACATATATATGTACATACACACAAACAGAGAAAGAGTAGAGTAGAGAGATGTCAAATTCAAATAAAAACATGTGTAAGACGAAGGATAGCAGTTGAGATGTTGCCGTGAAATTTTGGCCAAAAATCAGCCAAAAGTGTGGCATACAACTAGGCGCTAGAGGAAGAAAACACGACGCAATTACTCTCTACCTACTATTAAAATGCTCAGCAGGCGTTGGTAGGTGTTGCCCTCATACGATTCGGCTGGTTTTACACCGTTTTGTCGCTTTTTAATTAAAAACTTTATTATTATTATTATCATTGTCTGCGGACACACACACACACGCACGAACACAGATTTGCCTGCCGAAAAACTTTTATAATTAAAGTAAATGTAAATGCGGCGCGTGTTAAGCGCACAACAACAAAAGCAAAAATACAATGCAAATGCTTACAAAATATAAATGGCACAACAACAACGAAAATCAAATACCAAAATGACAACAAAAATCAGCGAAACAAAAGTTATCTCCTTCAACTATACTTGCTTACAGATGTATTGTAAATTATAGTTGTAATGGCAGTTGCGCGAACGGGTATGACGCGCGTGTGTGTGTGTGTGCAAAGGATGCAGGATTTCCGCCTACTCAAAAGTTGTAGTTGCTTTTTGTTGCGCACGAGAAATCTCGTTTCGGAAGGCGTTTACTTGGTTGGATCGCTATTTAGCGTACATACATTTGGAAGGTGGAAATGTAAGCATACTTTTTGGCGTTAAAAGGTAATGAAGGCGGGCAGTGAAGTGGAAAGGCACTAACGTTACTGAAATGAAATTGGTGTGATTACAAAGCTATAAATTTGTGTGTATTTATGGATGATTTTGAAATGAGTTTTGGGTTTTTGTTTAGTGGGATTTGGGACGGAAAATTAAGTTTTTTTTTTAGAAGCGAAATACCAAAATTTTTATAATTTGAAAAATTAAAGCGAATAATTGATTGATCGGAAGAAAGCGCTTTCCTGTTTTCGCAGTTTTGTGCAAAATTACCGAAGTTTCGAAATAATGACCAGACTTAGCAATTGGTAATTAAGACTTTTTGCAAATGGTCGACGCCATTGTTGAAGCTAATCGTGAGCAATCGACATGAAATAATCTTTTAAACAGGGCAAAAAACAACTCCTTGTTGCATTTCTAAGTGCCTTCTCTTGTGTCGGAATAAATTGTGTAAAAGTAATTTAAATGGAAATGTCTTCATGGAATAACAAAATATAAATTTCCCAATGCCTCTGAAGTGAAAGTGCTCGGTCTAAGATACATACATATATGAGCAAATCTCACGAGTTGTTCAGTTTTTCGACAAAAACATGTTTACTATCGAAAATGTTGTGGAATAATGGAATCAATGTAATTTTTTGAAGTGAAACTTTTTTAGCGGCGGTTGGTTGGTTGGGAGTAAATTAGCAAATTCAACGGATATTGCACACGGAAATGGTGCAACGGAAATGGTTGGGACGGAAACAAGTGCTTTTTGAATGTATGTTATCAATTTAACAAAAACTTGCTAATAAAAAGTTAAAGAATAACACTTAGAAAGATAGAAGAAGAAATATTAAAATAAAGGTAATTATAGAGAAAAGGATGCATATAGAGACACAGAGACTCGGGACTTGTCGATATAATAATCGAAATTTTTATCGGTTTTGTTATCGACATTTTTATCGCGTTTGTTATCGATCTTGTTATGGATAATTTATCGATTTGGTTATCGATTATTTATCGGTTTTGTTATCGATTATTTATAGATTTTTTGTCGATCTTGTTATCGATCATTTATCAATTTTTGATTGATTTTGTTATCGATTATTTATTGATTTTGCTATCGATTTTGTTATCTAAATTTTTATCGATTTTGTTATTGATTTTTCTAACGAAATTTTGATCGAATTTGTCATCGATATTGTTAGATGTTGCTATCGATTTTGTTATCAATAGTGTATAAAGATAAAAACGAAGATAAAGGAAAACAGAATAACATAAGTGTAATTAGAACAAACTGGGGTAGAAGTAGGGATCTAGATAGAAAAAAGGAAAAAATATAATCTTAAGCAAAAGCAGATGTATGTAGGTATATATGTACATATATATGTATATTGGTAATGAGACAAAATAGATATTTAACGTACGTAAGTTTCACTTCTCCAGTGTGGCCCAGACGCACTTACTTTTTTCTCCATTTGGTGGCACCTAGTATCATTAATATAAATTGTTTCGTATTTGCAAGAGGAACATTTTTACCGTTCAATGATAAGGATTTGAAATAACGTAAACTTTTAAAATGTAAAAAGCGTTAAAAATTATAAAAAAGCTGTAACAAATATTCTGCATGCTGCCATTTTTCTTCAGTTTGGTGTTACACTCTTGAAGCTATGTTGTATATGATGCCAACTTTCATTGTCTCTAACATGAACATTTTCTTTGAAAACTTCCAAAATAATGCATTTTTCGAGTGAAAATGAAAAAATAGTAATTTCGTTACTTTTCCCCTAAACAAGCGTTTTGAGGCTAGAATTGTTCAAATACTTGATTTATTTTTTATTGTGCTTGTTTTTGGAACTCCATTGATTGAAATAAATGGAAGAAGAATGCTTTAGCATTTTTTTCTGGCGAGAGAAGGGAGTGACACTAAAAAGAAATACAACTCGTGGGATTTGATTTTAAATTTCGAAAAAGATGGCAACTCTTTTCGAAAATATTTTCAAAACTAAAGTTTTCTCGTTTGAAACCCATATACAAGTAAAAAGCGATTTCGTTTATCTTATTAGTTAAATGGGTTTACAATTTCAAAACAGAAGGCAAAAGTCTTCAAAAATCTTTTCGAAATACAAATTTTTTAGCCCATTTTGTTTGACACCAACCTTTTTATGTCACCTCTCTTAGAAAATTTCTGTTTTGCATTTATTTAGTGCAATCAAAAATCAACAAAATCACACCCATCCACTCAATGCCTATCCAATTCCATTAAATGCTCAAAGCACATGCATGTCAGTAAGAACTTTTCACTCCTATGTATGTACCTTTTCAACTTCCATTTGCATGCAACACTCGTTACTAGTTACAATGACGTTACAATGCCACCGTGTGTTGCACGCTAATGAGAGTTTAATAACTTTGCCACTTGATACTTTCGGAGTTACTTCACTTTACTTACAGATTTTTGTTCCGTTTTCTATGCATCGGCAGTGTGACACTTTTAAAATCTTCCGCAGCTTCAATGTAAGCTAGCTGTCGATTATGTGTGAAATAGCTGCGATAAGTTTCGTTTCTTTTTATCAAAAAAAAAAAAAAAAAACAAAAAAAAAACTTTTAAATCCAGTTTGTAGCAAATATTTGCCACGCAAATTATGTGAAATTTTTCAAGACGCAAGTGCAAATGCTTATAAGATTGCCAGTGTCATTAGCCACTTTTTTTTGTTATGCTACTTTTAGTGGATTTAAGCGCAACTGCATGAAAGATTTAAAAAATAGGGAATTGCTGCCCTCTTTAGATCAGCTACGTCAAAATACATACAGCAGGAGTATCGTTTTAAAGCTTTCTATCCAGAGGGGCTAGGTAAAGCTTTTATTAAGCTCACGTCTACAAAAACTGTATAGAAAGTTTGGAAAAGCTCTGTACGTGCGTAGCTTAAAAGCTCTCGCTGACCGTCACGGCTGCATATAAAGCTCATATTTTGCTTAAAAGCTTTCCAGCGAGCTTTTCTGAAATTATGAGCGTACTTTTTTGTAGACAGAGGTGTACATAAAATTTCATTTTATTGCTTCAAAATTGCTTTGTAGCTTTTTTTAAGGGTTTAGATTTCTTAAAAAGTTTGTGTGGTTTTCGTGAAAAATGGTATTTACTTTTACTACATATCGCTAGCTTAGAAAGAAAAGTTGCTAAGTCCCATTTTAAAAATTTTACAGGAGAGGAAAAAATCTTCCTATAGCCATTTTCTTTAACTATTTCGCAAGACTTTGAATCAAACATTTTGCGCGTTTAAAGCAGAGCCAAACTCCATAAGAATCAGAAGGTTTCGATATTTATTAAAAGAAGTCGTATTATTTTGGCCTTATCGGATTTGCGGTGCTTCTTTTGGACTTAGCAAATTTTCCTTTTATTGCTTATGAAGAGGAAAAAATAAAACAAGTACCTTTATAATTTTCGAAACGATGCGTATTCAATTTCTCTAGCCTCCTATATCAAAATATGAGTTTTCATAAAAAGTGGACTTAGCAACTTTTCACTCTAAGCTAGCGATATACAAAATTTTTGAGCTTAAAGCTTTTCTAAAACATAATTTTTTAAAAGCTCCTAAAATTATTTAGTTTTTTTTTTTATTTCACATTACAAGACAATTACATTTAAAAATAAAAACTCGAAGAGAACCAACTCATATTGGCATAATTTAACTGAGAGCTTTTGACTTATGTTATGTGTTAACTTCTCCTCCGAGCTATGATTTGTTTGTGGCTAAACGTGATACGCCTTCTCTCACAAACCCTTTAAGGGTTTCATTGCACCACAAGAAGTTTAAAAAGGAATTTTTGCAAAAAAAAACATTGCATTGTTCAAAAGTTTTATTTCTAGAAATGGTTTCCTCGCAATAGTTTACTGGCACTTGCATTTTAATAACTTTTTCAAATTAATGAATATTTTGAAAATATTTGCAGTTTTCTATAGAAATTTCTATATCGAATTTCAGAAATTTTGAATTTATTATATACCCACCAGGGTTGCCATTGACGAAAAAAAATATTTACCATCCACTTGAAAAAAATCTACCAAATGTGGGAAATATCTACCAATAATTTTTTATAATCATTTTAATAAAAACTATAGTTTTCTTATTTTTTTATTTATTTTAATTAAAACTATAGTATTTGAGTCATATTATTGGCATATTCTCAGTTTCCTTCAACCAAAAGCGGAAGTGATGAAACTAAAGGCAACAATGAAACTTCATTATTTGAAAACTTCAACTCCAGTTATTATAGACAAATACAGTGACTCAAAAACGTGACTTTTTTTAATATTCGCAATATTTTTCGAGTAAAAATTGTTTATTGCTTTAACTAACAACATACAGAAAAATTCCAAAAATTTTCGTCTAAATTTCGAATTTTTTACTCTGAATTTTTAGAACAATTTAAGGTAAGGAGTTTTAAAGCAAATGTTATTTAAGTATAGCAAACAATGTGCTGCTTAAAATTCCCTTTGATTTTTTTTATTTTTTTTTATTGATAAAAAATGGCGTTGCTTTAATTTTTTTTTTGTGAACAATCATAGTGCATAATGACATACATACCTGTAAATTTTTTTTATATTTAAATATTCATTTAAAATATTTAGGCAATCTAAAGCTCCTCGGGATTCCAGAAAAATTAGTTTTGAATGGAGCGCGATATGTTCGCCTTATATCGATATACATTTATACGTATGTAATTATATAAAAAGTATGCAAAGAAATTTATAATATATTTAAAGATAACTACGAAAAATAAATCGGGAACGGAAAGTTCATCAAAAATCTACCAAAATGAGAAAAAATTTACCTTTTTACCAACCCAAATTTTTTCTACCAATTTTGGTAACAATTTACCAAAGTGGCAACCCTGATACCCACATTTTGAAAGCTTTTGCTGTTTTTGCATGTAAACATTTTGAAGCCATAGTGTAACCGCTTTAAGTATATACTAATATCCTGGTAATACTATTTCAGTCGCTCGTTGCTCTCTGCTAATGGGTAGTGAGTAAGTACCATTTAAATGCGTATGGTAAGTTTAAAACGAGAAATAGCGCGGCTAACAGTATGCTCCATCGAATGTTTTGTTTAGTGTCGTTTCTTTCTTGCCGTGCAATGGAATTCTCAGACGGCTAATAAAAAAATGTTACTCGTATTACATTATTATATATATATTTTTTTGTCAATACCACAATTTCTTAAGTGCACATTTTGTAGTCGAATATATGTAGGCTTTATTCGCTATTTAAGCTATTTGAGTTCCCTAGCAGCTTAAATCGAACATTTAGAAATGCTCTACATAGCTGAAACTTAATCACCTGCCAATGTTTGCGCCCAGGAATATGCTACACGCAAAAAACTTTAGTAGTTATTTGAAAAGTTCAGCATCATCCTGCCTACAATTTCAAAATTTAACACTTCGTTTTGCTGTTTTGCTGCTACCGCTTCTCTTTTCCCCCCTCCATTACTTACATTGCACGTCGAGCAGCAGCGATGCATTTTGGCGTATTTTCAACGTCGGATGCTCCATAACGCACAGAATGCGAGCATTGTGATGGGCTCGATAGACGGCCGGCAAGCGGGCCTCACTTTTCGCGCCGCTATTGATTTTGTATGAGTTTTTATCCTGAAAAGAGAAAGAATAAAAAACAAGTGAGAAAAGCAAAGATAAACAAAGTTGCGAACAACAAAGAGTTGAATGTATGTATGTCTAAAAAAACAAAAGAGAAAAGCATGGTGTTGGGCAAAAATTTTTCAAAAACATTTCGTATGCAGTGAAAAATTTACATGAAACACGCTGAAGCCTCGTATGTTACCATCCCCACACCCGCCAACTGCCCCCAACTACCAATCCTCTTAGGACCAACATTTGTAGGTGTCGAAAAATGT